CACTCTAGTCAGTGGCTGATTTTTATTGAGACCCTTCTTGAGTCACTTTCTAACATTTCTGCCTACCTCTTAGAGTGACGACTTCAGTGCACCGAATTTACTGCCCTTGTTAAAAAGCATTTCATTTTTTATTAATTTCTGAAACCATGCCTGGGCATCAAGGAAAATCCACCTGACTTCCAGGAGAGGGCCAGGATGGCAATCCTGGGGTCTGGGGGACCAAAGGCAGAGCAGAGTGGGAGTGAAATGGAGGAATAGGAGTGGTCTTGAGGGGGCAGAAGGCTGAGCTGAGTTCCTTGGGGGCTCCTGGTCCCCTGTTCTGTGACAGTGATAGTGGTTGGGGGGTGCTGAGGGAGGGAGTCGTCAGAGGTGAGGCCCAGGGGACTTGGGAAAGAGGTAGAGGCCTGGAGCCCTTGGAAACCCCTGCTGATGTTGTCAGGGTTCCTGTCATCCAGTGAGCCCCTGGGTACATCTCAGAGTTATGCTGAAAGCTGCTCGGTGCTTTTGCCCCCGAGACCAGAAGCAGCTAGTTCTGTTTGCCCCCAGCTGCCCATAGACAGAGCTACCACAGGTCCCTTACTGAAGATTAAAGGACATCATTTAAGGGCTTGTGGGGAGGGGTGGTGGCAGAAATCACTCCCAACAGACTATTGGGCAAGCTGTGTGCTTGAGGGAATGTGGCACAATTTAAAGAACATGGCCCAGCAGTCAGGACTCAGTTGAACGTGGCTCTGTTACCTGCTAGGGAGCAAGGCTAGAGGCTCCAATATCGAGAGTGGCTCAGACTCTCCAGTGCCTCCTAAGTGCCAGGCAGTGGGAGGTGACTGTGAACAGCACTCAAAGCTGAGGGGAAAAGTGATAGTGTCATATGCCTGAGGCTCCTAAGAAATGAGGCCAGGAAGAAGGGCTTGGACTTCTCAGATGAGAGCACCATGTATGTTCCTGAAACCCAGCTCTGGACAACACTCAGGTATACACAGAGCATGTTCTACTGCTAGGTCAATTTGGTGCTTCCTGTCCCAAAACATGAGGCCACTGGGGTCTAGAAACGGGAGGTGGCCTCTCCCAACCACCACCAGGACCCCAGCAGAGATCCAGCATTCTGCTGCAGGGACCTCCTAGTACTCTCCCATTACCAGTCCTAAAGATCAGCTGTTTCTCCTTGGGCTGTGACGTGACCCCGGCCTGTTTCTGTCTCCTGCCGTTGCCCCATCTCAGGGAGTCCCCTGTGTGTGTGTCATCTGTTGCATGAAGAGGTGACCAGGTGGTCTCCTCAGCCTGGCCCTTTGCAAGCCCCATTTGTCTCCCTCCTTCGAGATGATCTTATGTCCCCCAGGTACCTGTTCTACGGTGCCTGGGGTTATCGGGGTTGGTACAGTACTCAGGTGTCCCCTTCCACTGACATCCCAGGGGCTGGTTCCGCCACCCCGAGCACTAATTTAATCAGGAAATAGCAGAGTCCACATTTCCCAGGGGTTATAAATAGGCACAGCCATTCAGGCAACATCATTTCTCTGGAAAATGTGCCATGTCCCTCTCCACTCCCCACCCTCCCTTCTCTGTATTTAAATGACATCCTGAAATAGACTTGGTTTCTGGAGGCTGCTGGCCTCCTGGGAGATAAAGCATTCGTTGTCAGGGCACCCAGGGGCTGGGCAGGCCTTCCTAAGTGGGTACCAGGCCACACCTGCAGCAGGGATCGGGAATATGGCAGTGGTAGGAACTCAGCAAAGTGAAAAAGGGCCACCTTACCCAGAGGGTCAGGCGTGTGAAGCAATGCAAACAGTACCTGGCAGACAGGCTCTTGGTATGGTAGAAAGGCCGAGGGGCACAAGCAGGCCAGTGGCCTTGGGTCCATGGAGGGCTTAGAATGTCAGGCTGTAGTATCAGGAGCTGTTCTTCCTATCTCTGTCACTCCCAGGAAAGGGGACTCACATGTTGGGGGTTGTGGGGAGGTTTGTTTTGGAGGTGGCCTGCCAGACGCCAGACCCCGCCTGTGCCAGGAGGCCCGCTGTCTCCTTTCTGAGTAAGTCATGGTGATAGCAGCTGCTACTGTTGAGTGAAAGGTACAGGACCAGGTTAGGTACATTGCATATTATCTTGCAGCTTTAGCAGAGTGAGTCAGGGAGATTGGATTCTATTGCCCAGCTCTCATTCCCTGAATGTTTGGGACTAGGCAGGTTCTTTATATTTTAAGCTTGGTGTCTTTGTCTGTAAAATGAGAGTAGCTACAAAAGCTAAAATCACACAGGCTTGTTACAGTGGCTGAGATGCTATGTATGATGGGTTTATCAGTTTTAGACTTACCGAAAATGCACAGAATACGTAAGACAGCAGCCCTGTGAGGCAGGCGTGGGTACCCTATGAAGGAACTGAAGTTCATTGACCTGCCCAAATCACTTGGTTGAGTGAAAGACCTGGGCCACCCTGACTTCCAGTCCATGTCCTTTTCCCATTCAAGCTGCATCCAGATGCCACTCTAGGACTTGGGGAGAACCACTGGCTCAGTTCAGAGCAGCTGCCAGGAAATGCCAGGTCATGGGAAGCTGGGACGGAAGAGCTTGAGGGAATCCAGCTAGGTCCCTAGAGAGATCTGCTTTCAGAAGGGCTGGTCATTCCAGAATGTATCTCTCAATGGATGCATCTGCCTCAGTCAGCCGACAGAGAGCAGTTGAGATCCCTTTTCCCCATGGCCACTGCTGGGGGCCCGAGGTGGGGACAGAACCAGTGGTCTGAACAGGATGAAAGAACTACAAGAAGCAGCCTGCTAAAGACCGAGGGAGGGGTTGGGACAAAGTTGAGAGAGGGAGGATTCAGGACAGAAGCCAAAGTCGGGTGTCACTGGGGCCAGTGGAACCCTTGGCCGTGACTATTCCGGACCAAAGACCCTAGATGGCAGGGGTCCTCCCTGGAGCTGCCTGGTTCTCCCCACACTGCCTTCTCCATCTCCTCTCCTCACCTCACTCCCTGCTCCAGGTAGGGACTGATGGCTGAAGACAGAGCCTGGGCCACAGCTGCCCAGATGCAGGCCCTAGAGCCAGCCAGGTACGGCCCCTAGGCCCTGTCTGGGGTGACAGAAGGTGTGGGAAGGACTTGGGCTGACCCAGATCCAGTTTTCCTGTGGGGGATATTGGCCTGTGAGAGCAGCAATGTTGAAACCATGGTGTGACAGATGTCCTAGGGCAAGGTGGGCTGGAAGAGCTTGAAGAGAGTGAATTTGCAGGTCCTCGGCTGCCAACTGAGTCCAGGCATCTAGTATCAGCCCCCTCTGCAGATGAAAGCCCCAGGCTCAGGCTTGGCTCACTGTGGGGGCCCAGACCTCAGGGGTGAAAACAGAGGGGACCTTAAAAATGGTGTAGGTGCTGAGAAAGGAGAGACTCTAAAGGCTGATTACAAAGCCTTCTAAAGTCAGGTGGTGTCCAATTCTTTGCTTTTTACTACACGGATGAGGACTTAATTAACAGCTGAGAGATCATTTAAAATAATGTTTGAAAATAGGTACAGAGGTAATTTAAGGCAAATAACATGAGAAGTTAGTGACTCACGTAACATTGCTATACTAAAACTTCTCAGCCTCATCTAGTGATTTGTGTGGACAAAATGCTTCCGTGTTTACAATATTTAAAAGAAAACCAAAAAATTCTGAACAGAATAGGTGCTAAACCTCATTTTATTCTAGCAGAAATATAAGATTCATAGCAATGCATGAACTAAGGCAAGAAAAATGTTCTACCTGTCTCATTCAGAGACACAATTCCAGCAAAATGCCACTTTGCTGCTTGGTATTCATTAAAATTTGTAGTATATCAGAGTTTTTTACTGTGTGTTGCTAATCTTGGCACAGTAATAATAAATTCAGAACATACATTACATATTCAGAGATTTTTAGTCTTAGGAAATTTTCATTTCAATGTATAGATGTATTTTGGGAGTAAACTATAATAGGCTGATGAATAAAAGACTTGAAAATTATAAGCCAAAAGGAACCTGTTAAGGAGAAATGGAACAGAAACATAAGGAGAAAAAGACAAAGCAGGCTTTCTGTAAGGGAAAGAAGAGCTTGCTTGTATGTTTTTAAGTGGATGATAGTGGGTATCAAATCATTACTCTAATTATATTCCTCTGCATACATTTAAGGAATGATGTAATGGTTTTATTTTAAGATATCAGTATTTACATTATACTGGAAATTATATTCTTCACAGCTATTTACACTTGCTCCAGAAATGTTGACTTCAAAATGTGCTTGGGCGTACATAGTTTTTCAAAATTATTTTGCGGGTGCTCAAGCAAAATGGTTTGAAGGCCAATGAGTTAGAGGAATGAAGTCCTGAGAGGCCCCTGTGCCTCCATCCCTCACCCAGCACCCTATCCTGGGAGCTGCAGCCTAAATCTGGGGACCTGGCCTGTGGGGGAGCCAGCGGCTCAGCCCAAGTGGTCTCATTGTGTCCTCGCAATGATCTGGGAGGCCAGTTCTGTTATTGGCTGTGGAGTATAAGAGAAGGCTCAGCAAGGTAACAATTTGTCCATGTCCTGCTACTGAAAGCTGCAAAGCCAGGATTCAAACCCAGGCAGCTGACTCCGGACAACAGATGCTTACCTCTGCATCGCACTGCCTTCCCATTCAGCAGCCTTGAATGCACTGCAAGAGGCTAAATCTCCTCCAACCACTCCAATTTGGGTAGTTGAGCAAGTTGCTTACCTTTTATGACCTTCAGTTGGTGCATCTATGAAATGGATCGACAGCACCCATCTTGGAGCATAGCAGTCAGCCAACACCTTGTAACGGGCATGCACCCTAACAGAGGGTCCCTTGCCTCCTCCATGGAGCCACAGGGACCTCAGGGCTAGAACTACCTTGAAGGGTTCACTGCAAGATGAGCATCAAGGCTTCTACCGGGCTGGCTGGTGAGCAGTTCCCCACCAACAGGGAGAGTGCTGGCTTGGTCCCTGAGCTGCCCCACCTCTCAGTGACAGCCCCTCTCTTTCTTTCTCTGCAGTTGGATCCACAGACTGTAGAAACCAAGAACTGGCACACTGATGTGATCGAGATGAACGGGGTGAGCCCAGGAGATAGGAGATGCCTGAGCAGTGGGTGGGCACCCCTCCCCTCGTCCCTCAGCGCTCCACCCCACCCCACGCCACCAATCTCTGCCCATACCCATCCCTCTCCCAGCTGCAGTCCCAGAGTAGAGGGAGGTCTTGGGGGTAGAGGCAGCCTGCTGCAGTCCTGAAGAGGGAGACCCCTGTGTTTTGGGGAAACGTCTCAGACACTCATACCATGTACCTGCCTCATCTCCCAACCAGATCAAAGTGGAATTCTCCATGAAATTCACCAGCCGGGACATGAGCTTGAAGAGGACTCCATCCAAAAAGCAGACGGGTGTCTTTGGGGTGAAGATCAGCGTGGTGACTAAGTAGGTGCTGTCTGGTCTCCACCAGTCCCTGCCTCCCAGTATCGCTTGCACATGCTAACACCTAATTAGTCACACACATGCGCGCACATACACGCGCGCACACACACACACACACACACACACACTCAGTAGTAACAGGTGGCCAGTTTGGAGGCTGAAAGTGGCCTGTAGAGGTTTGTTCTCTGGCTGACCTAGTGCTTCAGAAACAAGAGTGATCATGGAAACAGTAAAAGATAAGGGATAGGCACAAATTGTTTACTTCTTGAGGTAAATGGGAAGATTTGACTCTAGGTCTGCATTTGGGTTTGGTAGCCACAGGCCGAGGTCCAAGGAGTGGCAGCCCCTTGGGAAAAGGCAATCCTTCAGGTCATGCCACCCTTCTGTGCCCCTTGTCTCCAGTTCCTGACCCTGCTCCCTTCTACCTGTTGGGCCCCCATAAGCACTTTTTTTTCTTGATGTGCTAGGGATTGAACCCACGGTCTCACACAAGTGCTCTACCACAGAGTTATATCCCCTGCCCTCATAAGCATTTGTTTTGTTTTGGTTTGGTTTGGTTTTTTGAGACAGGGTCTTGCTATGTAGTCCAAGCTGACCTTGAACTCACTGTATAGCCCAGGCTGCCCTCATACTACAGTGATCCTCCTGCCTGAGCCTCCCAAGGGCTGGGATTACAGGCGTGCGCCACCACTGGCAGCATTTGATTTTGAGGGAGCATTCCTTCTCAAGAGTCTTTAGGCTACCTCCCAGAACTTCTTCCTACCTGTGTCCCTTGCTGTGTCTCAGCCACCCAGCCTTGGCAGGACTGGCGGTATGGCCTCTTCCTCAGCTCTTTCTGTGCCCCTGCTTGTGACCTGAGAGGATCGACCTACCTTAGGCCAAGTTATGCTGGGGTCGGGGGCTAGATAATGCACCTGGCAATGCAAGACTCCCTCTACCCAACCCTTGCATTCTGTCCCCAGGCGAGAGCGCTCCAAGGTGCCCTACATTGTGCGGCAGTGTGTGGAAGAGGTGGAGAAGAGAGGCATTGAGGAGGTCGGCATCTACCGGATATCAGGGGTAGCCACAGACATCCAGGCGTTGAAAGCCGTCTTTGATGCCAGTGAGTCTGGGGTCCCATCTGGTTGGGGTAGGTGCCCAAGCAGGCTGATAGGAGAACACAGTGGGACCAGGAGGCCTCCATGGAGCCTGTGACCTGAAGGCTGTGACCACCATGGCACGAGGTAGACTTTCTGAGTCGCAGTGGCAAGCACACATTCTGTACGTTATGTCATCTTCCCCCACTCTGTTCTCTTATCCACTGTTATAACCAAGGAAATGGATGGAGCTCAAAAAGGCCAACTCACTTGCCCAGGGTTCTTCCAGTTTGTAGGTTTAGAGTGTGGATTTAAACTCAGAACCTTCTAACTCCAGAGTTGTGTTCTCAGCTTTTGTGCTAGTGCCAAGGGTCTAGTGGGCCGCGGGGACATTAAAGTGTTGAGCCTGGGCTTGCTGGCTCAGGCTACCCTCTGCTGTGGGTCAGTTCTACCTTTGTGTAAACTCCTCAGTGGCGGGGCCCAACCCTCCTGGTTTCCTCTTTCCATATCTTGGTCAGGCTGCAGCAGCAGCAGCAGCAACCAGTGGTTAGGAAGCTTGAAGTGGCCAGTAGTCAGTCCAGGTAGAGAGGGGCCTGGCAGGGAAGCCTGGAGTGGAAGATGGGGTAGGGCCAGGAACATGCTCGCACATGACTCCCCTGTGCAACCTGGAATTTAGAGCTTTGTCAGAACATGATTTTAGGTGTGAAGAATGCATAGGTCCTTCCAGGGAGGCTTGGCAATGGGAAGATTCCAGTTGGCAGGAGGGTGCATGCCATTTGGTATGGGTGTGGCTCGGGTGCTCTAGATGACAAGTTGTTTTCTTCCCTTCTCTGGGAAGCCACAGCAGACAGACCTCAGCCTGGCTCTCTCTGCTTCCTCTACTCCCGCAGCTAACAGAGCCAAGTCACAGAACCTGTGGCCACTATTTACATCCTCTCTTTCTGGAGGAGACTAGAGACGGAGATGGGGCAGGTGGGGGTTGGCCTGGGATAAATCTGAGGGCTGGCTGCTAGGGATGGGGGGCGAGTCAGGGGTCGGCACAACTGCTGACCTACTCCCCTCCCCTGTAGATAACAAGGACATCCTGCTGATGCTGAGCGACATGGACATCAATGCCATCGCTGGCACCCTCAAGCTATACTTCCGGGAACTGCCAGAGCCCCTCCTTACAGACCGACTTTACCCAGCCTTCATGGAGGGCATCGGTGAGGTCCTGAGGGCAGGGCTGAGTCGAGCAGGCCTCCCTGGCCAGGGAAGTCTGCGGCAAGAGTCCACAGCCTCCCTTGCCCATTGACCTGTTCAGTGCTGAGGGGTCCCAAGGGCAAGGTGTGGCCTGCTGGAACATGGGGCAGGGGCTATTCCCTCTCTCCCTACCTCCCACATCCCTGAGGGCAGCCTCTTTCTCCTTGAACAGTCCTGCTTGCTTAGAAACACAGGTTTTTAGGGAAGACTTCCCTGAAGTGGGCAAGCAGAAGCTGACTCCCCAGAACCAAGGAAGAGGCTGTTTTGAGCCTGAGGGCACTGGGACTGGCTGGTGTTGAGCTTTCCAGAACTGTTCACCTCTGCCAGGGGTGCTGGCCAGCAGGGATTCAGCCTTATCTACTTGGGCCAAGTTCAGGCCTGGCATGTCCCTCTTGCCTTTTCTTTTCCTGGGGCAGGGAGGGCTTTAGCCCTCACAGAGAGTGAGAAGCCCCAGAGAAAGCTGCTGCTTGCTCCCATGAGCCAGCATCTGAGGCAGTTGACAGAGAAAGTGTTCCCATCCCTGGCAGAATGTGCCATCATTGGGGACCCCACTGGGGGGTGAAATCCAGTGTAGGAGGAAAGGACAATAACAAGGACAAGGTACTAGTTGTAGTGGGCCCTCTTGGAGGAGCTGGCTGCTAACAGGCCATCCAAATTCTGGGCCTTCCCTGCCAGGATGCTTCAACCCCTGAGCTCTCCCTCATGCTCATGGCCCTGGTGGCTTCCTCAAGGGCTTTTCCACCCCAGGACCTGAGCCCCAGTCTAGCCTCTTCTCTTCCCCACAGCCCTGTCAGACCCTGCTGCCAAGGAAAACTGCATGATGCACCTGCTCCGCTCCCTGCCCGACCCCAACCTCATCACCTTCCTCTTCCTGCTGGAACACTTGAAAAGGTAAGAGCAGAGCACATCCAAGGGGAAGGCCGGGAGCTGATAAAGTCTCGCATGTCCTGCTATGGGACCCGGCTTCCTCAGCACCTCCGCATGAGTGCTGGCTTTTGCTGGGCCACTGGCAATAGCATGAGGGTTTGCATTTCAGCTTTAAACAGGGTCTTGCTAGGCTTCCCAGACTGGGTTGAACTTGGGATCCTCCTGCCTCAGCATCCCAGAGTACTGGGATTACAGGCATGTGCCACTATGCCCAGCTTGCTTTTCAATTTCTTGCACTCACATTCTTCTTTTAGGAAATATGTGGGTCCTGATAGCAACCTCAAGCACCAGCCTTGAAATGTCCAGAATGGCAGGTCTAGAGCAAGAGCCATAAATAAACTTTATGGTTATTGGGCCCCCACCTGTCAGTGGTTCATTTGGTCAGTTTTATAATTTTTCAAGTGAAGTAGAATGAGCAGAATGAGGGTACACTGTGGGCAGTAAGCTAAGTATTGTTTTGTTCAGTCACCTATAGATGTGGGTACTCGGTTATAACAGAATATATTTGTCATTATGGGTCAAGAGCTCAACCTATATCTTTTTAACAAATAGAGAAACTAAGTCCCAAACCCAGCAGGGACTTGGGCTATAGATGTGTCCTTAGGGCCCACATCTTCCAAATCCTGAAAGAAGACCCTTCTCGCCCTCCCCTAAACCTTCCACAGTCAAGATACACCAAGAGCTGCTCAAGCTGACACCTGCCCATGGTTCAGAACTGAGAGGTGTCTTCTTCACTTACTCTTGATCCTGGAACTGATTCCAGGCATGAGTGGGACTGGAATCCCTTAAACCCACGTGTTCTCCAGGACCAGAGAGCCCCAGGAGGACTGCTGTGTGCTCCAGCACCCCCAAGTTCAGTCCCACCCTTGGGTCCAGGCTCCTGCTACAGTTTAGCCAGGCCAGGCTTAGGAAGGCCAGTGGAGATCTGGATGTATCTAGGGCTACTATCTTGTTTTTCCCATTATGAGACATTTTCCCTCTGGTTTGGCCAGAACCAAAGCCCCAACCAAGTCCCAAATAGTTTGGCAAGCATCCTGGGGAGGACGCAGAGGAGTGGGAAAGGAAAATTCATTAGGTTTTCCACCCTGGGAACTGGGCACAGTCTGTTCCCACATCTGGGCCCCTGACTGGAGCTGTGTGTTTCGGGAGCGGGGGAGGTAGGTCCGCAGCACAGCTGCCTGCTGGCATCGCGATGTTCGCCTGTCTCCAAAACAGTCAGCAGGCACATCCATGGCTCCTGCCCAGAGGGTGTGACTGATGGTGTCAGAGGGAGTGGGGTGGCAGGCACTGCCCAGGATGGCTGTGTCTTGGCCCCAGAAACATTTCCTAGGGTGGGGAGAGGCCCTAGCTTCTCAATGTGTTTGGTGATACTGAGCCTGCCTGGATACCAGCCACAGATGGCAACTCCTGCTGTCACTCAGAGGACATAAAAAAGCATCAGGAGCAGGGAGGAGGAGTGGGGAAAATCCAAAAGGAAGCAGCTCTGGGATCCCCTAAGCAGGCCCTTCTGGAGGAGCGGGGAGGACAGCCCTGGCCTCCGCCTGGGGTTAAGGCTGTTCCTGCTGTAGCTGAACAGGAAGCATTGCAGATCCAGTGAGCAGATGCTGCCAGGCTCCAGGCCCTCCCCACCGTGCCCCATCTACTAAGACTCTTCTCTAGACATTCCCCGCAGCTAGATAGCTGTATCATGGGTGCCACAGTTACTTTCTCATTGCTGGGACAAAATACCCAACACAACTTAAAGGAGGAAAGGTTTATTTTAGCTCAGTTTTTAGAAATTTCAGTCCCTAGTCCGCCGACTCTGAGGCAGGGTGGATTGGCAGATGGGCGTAGCAAAAGAGACCATCCATGGCTTGGCAGATGAAGCAGCAAGTGCTCAAGGCAGGAGTGCTTCCTACCAGGCTTCATCTGCCAGCATCACACCCAGGTATAAACCCATCAGTGGACTAATCCAGCACCACACACCTGTCGTCCAGTCACCTCCCAAAAGCCCCACCCCCGCCAGAGTGCGTGAGGTGTAACAATGGGCAATGAGCAGAGGGGTTAAGAACATGAGTTCTTAGGGCCGGGGATTTAGCTCAGTGGTTCCACCACCTGCCTCACAAGGTCCCGAGTTCGATCCCCATGTACCAACAAAAAGAGAACCTGAGTTCTTGGGCAGACTGCCAGGTTCTCATTCCAACTCTACATAGCACTTGCTAGCCATGTGGCTGTGGGCAAGTCCCTGAACTTCTTTGTACTTTGGTTTCTTTATCCCTACAATAGGATGATGATACTAATAGTATTTACCTCAAAAGATCATAACAAGTGTGTGTGTTATTACCAGGAAAGTTCTCTAAATAGTAATGGTTTGTCTCTAAAGCAAGGAAGTTGGAATTGATAGCTGTGGGTCTTTCTGGCCTGGAAGTTCACAGGAGGCAGCCTGTATGCTGGGAATCTCCTATAGCAATATCCAGGGATGTAGCTGGGGCTGTGGGTGCCTGGCTCAGTATCCTTCCCACCAGCAGGACTCTACCCTTTGGAGAGGGAGGCTAGTTGACCACCATCTGGGAGTTCCTATAGCTAAGACCAAGGGTCCCAGAGCTCCAAGTGGCTGCTGAGGAATGACTTTTTGTTCTCGCTACTCTCCCTTTCAGGGTTGCTGAGAAGGAACCCATCAACAAAATGTCACTTCACAACCTGGCCACTGTGTTTGGCCCCACGTTACTGAGACCCTCAGAAGTGGAGAGCAAAGCACATCTCACATCAGCTGCAGACATCTGGTCCCATGATGTCATGGCACAGGTACCACCAGAGGGATAGAGAGAAAAGCTCAGAGTGCCCACACTCTGCCCTGCTGAGCAGCTGAGTTGATTTGTGTGTAGGATGCCACCAGGAAGGCAAGGCATGGACAATCCTGCCCCTCCCAGTTGGAAAAGAAATGTAAGGGCCCAGAGAATGTCTGTCCCAGGTGCTGACTGCTTTCTTGTGGGGGGGCCTTTGTCTCAGAAAGCAAGCCCCAGGATGGAGAAAACTCCTAGGGGTCTTATTGTTATGCATGAATGCCCTGGGGTTGCTTTCAAGGACATACCAGGGCTGCTAAGCCAAAACCAACCTCAGCCCCTTTGTATGACTGAGGTTCTGTAGTGGCCTAGCTCCTCCACCCTGTTCTCTAGCGCCCTCTAGTGCTACAGTGGACTACACCTGAGCTTCCAAGGAACTTCTGGCCAGCCAGAATCGACCCCCGGAACCTTTGGGGGCAACACAGGCTTGGCCCCAGCCCAGGAACCATTACCTCAAAACAGATCAGACAGAGAGCCAGAAAGAGAAAGATCCCAACCTCAGTCTATTCTGTCTCCCACAGGTCCAGGTCCTCCTCTACTACCTGCAGCACCCCCCCATTTCCTTCGCAGAACTGAAGCGGAACACACTGTACTTCTCCACAGACGTGTAGCCTGAGGCCAGGACGGCTGGGGGTGGGGGTGGTGGTCAGAGCTAGCCCCTCCAGCCACATCCAATACAGACTTGAAAGACTGCAACAGAAATTCCCCAGCCCAGCACTCCAGACTCCATGGGAAGCCAACTTCCAAAAACTGGAATCTGTGCATCTTTTGTGCCACCTTGTACAAAGCCAGCTGACCAGCCCCCAGCCTCACCACCACACCCCAGCTCCTGCCCTCTGTACCTCTAGTTGTGTCTGATGCTCCGTGCTATTTGGGAATTGTTTTATGTATATTTGTCATGCAGAAAAGGTAGTGACCAACCTGGTATGGGGCACACAGACAGCCTGCTTTATTCTTTCATTTTCCCCAAAGCTTTCTTTCTTCCTGAGTCCAGTCTAAGGGCTTTTATTTGGCGCTATGTAATTGCTGCCAGTTTTTCCTCTCTTGGCCCAGATTGTAGCCTCCCCTCAGTGTTCTCCACCCTCTCCTCCTTCCCAGCCTGCCACATGCATGTGCAGCCGCGGTTTTTGCTCCATCACCTGGAAAGTTCTGCAGAGGTCCAGGCGGTAGCAGCAGTGGTGGCCTGTCATCTGCTCTACACTGCCCTCGGCCTCTCCCCGCCCTCTACCTATGGAAGCACACCTGCTTTGCCTTGCTGCCTGTGCAAATGTTGGACAAGGAGACAGACTCACACTAATCCTCAGCTTAGCACAAGCTGGAGAGCTGATTTCTGGAATTTTCCATTTGAGAATCTCCATTTCTGGGGTTTGTCTGTTCTGTCTCCTGCCTACCAGTGAGGCATCTTTGACTGTTTCTTCTTCTGCTGAATTTTCAGTTCCTTTTCCCCTGGTGTTCTGTTTCCTTTGAGTGTGAAGACCCACAAGTGACCTGCTATCAAGAGAGCCAGAGGGTCAGAAAAGCATCTGGGGAAGGGGGCAGTCGGCTATACCACGCGGCACTGGCAGCCTGAGTCATGGGGAAGCAGCTCTTAGCAGGAAGGAGTTGCACAGGCTTTCCTAGTGGGCCGGGCTTCCTGGAGGGTGACTACTGTGGCTAAAGTAGGTGTCCAGAAGCAAGCAGGCTCTGTCCTGGAGGCTTCCTGGCACCTTACATACCTCGTGGTACTTTTGCCTTAGATTTTTCACTCTCTCCACAGCCAAGCACTGCCACGGGGCAGCCCCCACTGCCACGTGTGCTCCAGGGCCTGGGAACGGAAGGCACAATCCACCAACTGACATGGTGCTGCCCCAGCCCATTGCCACCTTGTGGGTGAACTCTGGGAACCTGCAGAAGTTGAGGGAGGATGAGGAATCACAGGCATCTATCTGCCTCTTTAGGGGCTGGGTTTTGCTGGGCCTTCATTGTTAACACTGCTGCAGTGTAGGAGATCAGCAGGTGCCAATCCCAGCCTTGAAACCCACTTCTCAGTACTAGAAAGGAGCAAGATTTACTCCCAAAGCACCATTTCCCTTCTGAGCAGCAGTTGTCCACCCATGGCAATTAGCTTGAGAGGACAGACATACCACTGGGTCATGAGGCCTAGCACAGCTCCCTGGCTCTTCTGTGTGGCAGAGAGTCAATTCCTGGGTGCAGGACTAGGGGAGAGCAGCTCCCATTGCTTGTACTCAGGGCTAAGTCTAAAGAGGGGTTAGCTGGCCCCAAAGCTGTGGTGTTTGCTCGGCAATAGAAGGGCCCTTTCTGATCCTGTTTATACCTGTTGCATTCAGCAGAATGTTATACTCTATGTACGCTGGAGGAAAGAAATGCTTGAGACTAAAATGCTCTCCACCTAGCTCCCAGGTATCAGCTTAGCAAGGAGCCCCATTTCCTGGGACAATAGGTGAAGAATGCCATTGAGTGGTAAAATCCCAGTGTCTGACCATTCCTGAAGGCTCTGGTCAGGTGTTGGTGGTATCAGGGAAGGTTCTCGCTTCCAAAGGATTGACAGTAACAAGCTAGAGGCCCAACTAGAGCTAGGTATAGCCTCAGATGGGTACCTCCTGCCTCCCAGAATGAGAAGTGTTTGCTTCTTAGCACTAGGTAGCTATTGTAGCCCCTACCTTGCTTAGGCAGTATGATAAGAGAACAGCTGGAAAGGCTGAGAAATACAGCAGGCCCGTACTATTTATAAATCCCACCCCAAGTGGGAGGCTTGGGTGCCATACCTGGACTTTAAGCTGCACCATGGAAATAGCTGGTGGGTTCTCCTGAAAGACAGGGACTCTGTAGCCCAGTACTCCCAGTCACTGTGTGCAACAGGGCAGCCTGTGCCAACTGGAGAGGCTACAGGAATCCCCGGCATGCTTGTCCTTACTGGGCAATGGCTGCAAGCTGCCGGCTTTTGCTGATGGAGGTAGGATGAGACCCTTCATTAATATTCGACTTTAATAAGTTGGTAAGGATATATTTTTTTTGTCTCTGTTCTGTTTCAACTTATGTAGATTATTATAAATTGATGTAAACGATGTGAAAGGAAAATGTTAATAAAAAAAAAATGCAAAGCCCCAACATTTGCACAAAACAACCTTGTGGTATAGATGTTTGTAATCTCAGTAGTTCAGAAAAGACCACCAATCTAAATATTTAATTCCTCCAGCTGCATCCACATGTTTCCAAGAACCTGTTTACCTAGCTAACTGTCCCTGGGTCTTCCCTTTGGCCTTTGGTGACTGGGGCAAAGTGAGCCCGAGCTCTCTCCTTCCTCTTTCCAGAGGTCTTCAGATGAACTACTGCCAGGCTGCTGCTGGTCTCACTGTCTGAGTTTGCTGCTGCAGTTCTCAAAGTATCTCAGCAGACCTAGCCATTAATGTTCCTTGGAGAGTTGGAAAGAAGTTGTCTCTTAATTTTCTGTAAACTTCTCTCTACACTTTCCTTGGAAGTGGCATATCTCTGGGCAGCCTTTTGGTCTGTTTGTCCGGGAAGGAAGCCGCATCTCCCGAAGGACCCACCTTCCTTTTGGGATTGCCAGTGGGGTTAATAAGGGCTACCTCTAGCCTAAGCCATTGGACATTGTATTTATTCTGGAGATTGGAAACAGATGTCTCTGAAAATTGCTGTTTGGTTTATGAGCTCATACTAACTCCCTGGCCATCTAAAACAGGAAGCTATTCATCTCTCTCGATTGAATAGTTAGTGCAGACAAGACTTAAGCATTCTTGGTTTATTGAACTGATGGCTACTGACAGCCTCTAGGGTCATCTTTTGCCAAAGCAGTTGTTAGGGCAGCATTTTTTATATTCCATCCCATGTACAAGCCTGGCTGGAAGAATGTCTGCCTGCCCTTCCCTCAAGGTGGTTTTAGGTATGAAGTATTTAGGGACAGGATCAGAAGCATTCCTAAATCTGGGACAGACACCATGTAGAATTTACCATAGAAGGATATAGGTCCTATGTGCTAGCTCACACTCATGACAAGGAAACAGCAGGCACAGCCAGAGGAAGGTGTTACCAGCTGGGTTTGACAACTCACTAATACAAATATATACACACAGGATGGCTGGATGCTAAAGCTGAGTCTTGGAATTCTGGTTAAGAGTGGGTGAATTGAAAAACAGAAAAGCTAAGAAAGCAAAAAAGTGGAAGTTACTTTACAGTAAAAAAGAAACAGTATCACTAACTGAAGGGAGCCAGGATAATGTGGCCTCCACCAAGCCTACTGTCTGCCCCCCGCCCAAAAGTAAACCCCATGGTGTGAGCAACAGAGTAAAAGCAGCACAGCACATAGCAGAGCCCAACTGTAAAAGATTTTTGTTTTTGTTTTTTGCCTATAGCACACAATTGGGCTCAGCTGTTATTTTCACTATGAGACCACAAGTTAAAGACATAAAAAATTTTAGAAACCCACTAAAAGTAGAGAACAAGGGTGGTGGTGAACAATCCTACAATATAATCTTGGCCAGTAGCTGCTAGATGACCACAGCAGGACCCTTTCACACATGTCCCTGAGCTAAGCCTGGGCAGGAAACCAATATGTGGTTCAGCAAACTACAAGCATCCTATCAGGGAGCCCAGCAGGTTTTTCAGAAGAAGCCAGTGGGGATCATGCGGGGAATTTCAGTGTATCCTAGAAAGCACTAGGCTGGGCTTCTGGGGAGGAAGTCTGGCCAATGTGATGATTTGGTGATGATGACAGTCTTCTACAAACCCTGAGAATCTAGCATTCGTAGACTTCTCAGGAAGTTTCTCACTCTTTCTTATTGGATTGTCACTCTTCGGGCCACCCGGCACCATTGTGGGGAAATGTAGAAATTGAAAATAAAAATAACCCAACTTTTTAAACTGTTATATAAATACATTTTAACAAGGATGACAGAATATTAAACAAAAAGACATACTTGGATGGATGGCATGAGTTTACTTTGCCCTGCCCTGGTATCATAGTAGATGTTTGTGTGGAGTTCCAAGGCAAAAGAGCTTCCTGGGCCTTGTAAACACACTGCCACCTTCCCGTCCACAGCACCAAACAACCAAAGACTGGATGCCATCAGGACTGAGCCTCTGTGAAACTTAATTCCAAGCAGTCAATACACAGACTCCTGACCTGCTCTATGGAGACAATCTGGCATGGAACATCCCCTGAAAACTTGGAAGTCAAGGAGCAGCAGGCTATGGCTGTTCCGAAGGCTGGAAGCAGAGAGCAGCCAGGAAGTACCCTCAAAACACCAGCTCTATGAGGGAAAACAAATGTCTTCAGCCCTGAAGCAAGGGCCAAGTGGTACAGAAAGAGTCCTCCAAGAACAGTTCCAGTCCTGGGCTCGCATCCTTCCCCACAGGCAAGTTCTTTCACCGGAGGTAATAATCAATTGCAGCAGAGAAAGCAGCAAAACCTCCACAACCAATGGCCCCGGCCTTTAAGCCAGCTGTAAAACAAACAGAAATAATATTACCTTACCTGTGGTGACAGATAGTGGGGTCAGGCTGCATTTACAAAAAGTTTCTATACCCACAGATGCAAAGAAACCAGCTTAAGCACTCTTGGTCATTCATCCAATGATGGCTCTGTGAGACTTCAATGACACAGTATATATGATCTAAGCCAGTGTCCTTTATTTAATTGCACATTCACTTTTCTCATTCCAAAGAATTACTATTCCCAGTCTTATAGAAATGGCTCCTCACTGGCAGGAAACTGGCTAAGAGGACCAGCCCCTAGAATCAAATGAAAGCATATGGCCTTTTACCCCAATCTGTTTATGGAATAAATTCCTGGGAAGGTGATCAAAGAAGTCCTGGAGGGAGCCGAGCTCACAGAGACCCTGAAAAAACTGAGCAATGATAAGACCAAAAGAAAAGCCACTCTATAAATCACACATGGAGTGTAAGGAGCAAAAGCAGGCTTTAATCATAGCAAATTATCCTGACTCAGAAGATGACAGGCTTTCTGCCCTGAGTAAGTCAAGGTGCTACTGGATGGAGAGAGACCCAGGAGTTGACACTGCTTCTAGAAAAGTCACTCCCTGAAGTCTACACTACATACTTGAACATGCTAACAGAGAAGGGATGGGGGTGAGTTTGTCTGTTGTTTACAGTCAATAATCTAGCATTTCTAGGATGTCTGTACTTAGCTTCTTAGCTTTTTCTTTTTCAGTTGTGCTGGGAATTGAACCCTGGGTCCAGCACATGCTAGGCAAACACTACTATCAAGTCATACCCACAACGCTTTCTCTTTTTCTTCTTTAATTTTGAGACAGGGTCTTACTAAGTTGCCCATGTTGAGCTTGAACTTTGATCCTCCTGCCTTATCCTTCCATGTAGCTAGAATTACAAATTGCACCACTGTGCTCAGCTTCTGTATTTAGCCTTCAATGGGTTGATTCTAAAAATCCCCAAATGCAGAAAGATGTTAACATTGTAATTCATATATATAAAATTAAAATTAACAACTAGGGCTGGTGATGTAGTTCAGTGGAAGAGTGCATGTGTAGCATTCACAAGGCACTGGGTTCAATCCCCAGCAAGAAAACAAAGCAAAACAAAACAGCTGACAACTGTGTAAAATTGAGAAAAATGTCTGGAGCTGGGGATTTAGCTCAGTGGTTCTGCCACCTGCTTTGTAAGTGCAAGGTTCCAAGTTTCAGTCCCCAGTACCAAAAAAGAAAAAGAAAAATGTCTGACCTGGGCATGATGGCACACTCCTGCAATCCCAACACGCTGGGAGGTTGATGCAGGAGGATCACAAGCTCAAGACCAGCCTGGGCAACTTAGTGAGACCCTGTCTCAAAATCAAAAAATGGGCTGGGGATATAGCTCTGCAAAGGCCCTGGGTTCAATCTTACTACCAAAGAAGACAGAAAGGAAGATGAAGAAAAAACCCTAAATACATCAAATGCCTAGCGCTGTAAGCTCAGCACATTCTGCATGTGTATTCAAACAGGCTACCCAAGGTTGAATGGACCTAGCTATGCCTCTGTACTATCCTGCATACCAACACATTTCAATTATTTATTGTGAAAGTTGTTCTACATACTCAATATGGGGCAGTCCTTTTTTCTAAGATAAATCTAGAGCAGTGGTTCTTAAGTGGAGTTGATTTGCCCCTCCTACCAGGAACTTTTGACAACTGAAGGAATGCCATTAGTGTCTGGCTAGACATACCATAATGGAGAAGAATGACTTCCCAACCCCAGTAAAGATTTATCTAATCCAAGGGGCCAGGGATTTAGCTCAGCGGTTTGGTGGCCTGACTCGCAAGTGCAAGGACCCAAGTTCGATCCCCAGTACCAAAAAAAAAAAAATTATCTAATCCAAAATGTCAGCAGCACCAAGGATGAGAAACCCTGATGTAGATACAACCAAGTTTCCAAAACAGTTCACACAGAAGTGATCAGGATTTATTTGTTAGGAGAGAAGAATATCAAGTGTCCTTGGAACACTCATATGTTTGGAATTCTCAACATCAGCACACTGGCCAAGACCACAAAAGAAAATAATTCAAGAGCTGTTTACTAACCTCTGAAACCAATGGCTCCTCCAGTGATGCAGCCACTAATGACGCTGTTCTTCCAATCTGACTTTCCCCGGTACTGTGGGTGGAGAAGTGTAGTTTAGAGTCAGAGCAAGTCAGACCAGACAACAAAGGAAAATAACACAGAGTTTCCAGTTGGCTAATTCAGACTACCCAAAGGAAACCTAATCTTCAAAAGTACAGTAGTTCCCAGAATTTGAATGTATTCACAGATGCCTCCTGCAGGTGGCACCAGAATGCAGAAATTAAGTACAGTACAACATTTGAGAAGTAATCAAAATTTCATCTCAAATTCTCCAATAAATCTATGTTTAAAATTATTAACTGAAAGCTGGGCACAGTAGCACATGTCTGTAGTCCCAGCTGCTCAGGTAGCTGAGGTTAGAGGATCACTTGAGCCCAGCAGTTCAAGATCAGCCTAAGCAACAGCATAGCAAAATCCCCTCTCAAAAATAAATGCAGGGCCAGGGATTTAGCTCAGTGGTTCCACCACCTGCCTCACATGCGCAATGTCCCAAGTTTGATTCCTGGTACAAAAAATAAAAATGAATAAATGCATATAAAAATAAAATTGTTAAGTGGGCTGGAGGTATAGTTCAGTGGTACAGCTGGCTAGCATCTATAAGGCTTTGGGTTCAAATTGCAGCACCAAAAAAATTTAAAAATCATTAACTCCCCACTAACAAAAAGCAAAAAAAAATCCAATATCATAAACATACAAAAATTCTACACTACAAACTATTTTATGGAAGTACAATCTGAACTGTATCTTGATGTTTTTGATCTGCATTCTAGTAACAAGAGCATTTGTATATATATTTTTGGGGGGGTATCAGGGATCGAACTCAGGATCTTGCACTTGCAAGGCAGGCACTGTACCACTGAGCTACATCCTCAGCACAAAAGCATTTATCTTTAAAAGTGAGATGGTGGCAGACAAGGATTTCTTAGAAAGCAGAGAGACACTTACAGATTCTACCAAGCACTCAGTACAGGAAAACATGGCACCCACAATGGCAAAATTTTTGGCATAGGACATTCCTCTCTGCCCCATATCTTTAAGAACTTCTTTTGCAGTCGGTGTACGGTAAGGATCCTTAGGGTCAAAGCCTACGTTGGTATCAATGCCAGCAGTGAATACCCCAAATGCACCTCCCAAAACAAATCCTAAAAGCAAACAAGAGATGAAGATTTCTTTAGCATGTTTTCTGGATTACTGTGTTGGGATCATACTTGAAGACAACCTCTTGGGTGACAAGTGCAGAGGACACCCCTCTCACCACTCACACTCTCTATTTGCCTCCACATTACAAAATTGGGCTAAGCATGATGGGACACACCTGTAATCCCAGCACTTGGGAGGCTGAAGCAGGAGGATTGCCTCAAGCTCAAGGCCAGCATGAAGTGCATAGTGAGACCCTGTCTCAAAAAAAAGGGGGGGGGGAATCTATCTTCTCTGCCTCCTCTAGGATTTTTTTCTTCATTTCAAATGTTCCTCATGATTCAGTCTGCAACCCTCTATTCTCTCCATATTTTCATATGTAAACTAGCCATCCTCAAGTTCAGCTATCAACTTTGTAAATCACTGCGTTGGCCATGGATTCATGCATAAATCACTTAGCTACTCATGTTTCAGGTACTCGAATGCTTTATAGTCAATGCCTCATTTATTCTTCACACTAATCCTGTGAGCCTGTAATCTCTGGAAGGCAGAAACAAAAGGACTGCAAACTTAAACCCAGCTGGACAAATAAATTTTGTTTTAAAAGACAGAAATGTAGCTCAGTACAAAAGACCCTGGGTTCAATCCCCAGTACTGCAAAAATAAATACACAGCTACCACACTCTGTCCACATACAACCCTCTTGAACTGCTGAGCGGAGACATCCATATGGCAGGTTACAAAATGACTGGCTTTGTTCATTTGTTCACTCATTTATTCAGCAAGTTGTTACTAAACAACTGTCACTGCCCGGCTGTGGAAATACTGGATGAAACAGAGAAGAGCCTCATTGTCATGCTGGAAACATGAGAAAATGGAGGTCTTCTCATCACCTCAAGGTCAATAAATAATTCAGTATAATTCTGAACACCTCCGACCCAGACTTTCCTGCTTATGGTTCCTTCTTTCCAGTCATTCCAGTATTGCACTTTTGCTACATCCACTTCTTACACGTCTTTTATTTTCAATGAAATTTAAACTCATCTACAAATGTAGTCCACTTCTTGAAGGTAGGCTGTAAGCTCTCAAATCCTCAAAAGGTTCAATTTTTATTTTTCTTAAAGAGCCACCTGTTGCACGCTACTGTCCAGTCACATTGGGCTCCCCCCTCACCTCAAAACAGTTCCTGCCTTATGGGCCTCTGCAGTTGCAGTTCCCTACGTCTGCAGCACTCTTGCAAGACTTCTAGTCAACATTCTTCTCTCATACGGTAAGACGCTGAACTCACGCGAACGAGGTTCGCGTCTGTCTTGTCTCGCATTCCCACCCCTTGGCACGTGACAGCTGTTAGTTACAATCTGCTGAATGACTAAGTGAACAAATCAACGAACGAGGCAACCACTTTACCGCAGGCCCTGACCATAGCACTGATCCTCTGATCAGTGTCCACCGTGGAAAGCCGGCCTAGGGGACAGGAGAGGCGTCGCCGAATTCAAGGAGCCAGGCACGGGTGCGGTAAGGTCGAGGCTCACAGATCCCTTGCAGCTCAGGCGCGTGGTCTTCTTGGCAGAGAACCCCAAGGCTCTCCAAGCGCCCAGGCCCCCCAGGACCCCGAGAGCTTCGCCTCACCTCCCACACAAGCAAGCGCTGCCTTGAAGGCGCAGCTTTCCATCGCTTTCTCGATCATCTTCTGTTCCTCGCTTTTGGCCGGACTCGGGATCCCGCCTAGGCTCCCAGGCTCCAGAAGCCGCGGCTGGCGCTTGTCGCCCACCAGGTATTGCAGAAGAAGGCTGTACTGCAGCTGGGCTTCTGTGGAACTCGCCGCCTCAGGCGCGGAGCCCCCACCTTTGGAGGAAGCCGCAACAGCCATGACTGCTCAAGAACCCCTCGCGCAGTTCTTCCCACGGCAGATTCCACAGCGTCTGGTTGTTGGCCCCGACTGGCCAGCCCCCGAGTCGCAACGGCAGATTCGCCACAATGAGGAAGTCACGGAAGCCAAAGTGGGCCTGCGCCGCCGCCGCCGCCCCGCTCCCCCCCGCGAAACAGCTATCGTGTTTCCAAAAAGCCTCTTGTGAACGCTGAATCACGTTTATGAGGTGTTCCCAGGTTCCCCACAGACAAACAAGATTCAGATTCAGATTGAAATTCAGAGTGCGGGGATTTATACGACTAACGCGAATATCCAACTACATTTCCCAGGAAGCCGTGAGCGAGTTCTCGCGCGGCGGCCTCCTCCGAAGCCCTTGGTGCCCTCGAGAGGATGTAGAGGAGCGGTGGTGCTTCCGCCCCAGGAGCTTCCTTATCTTTCCCTTCGCTCCTGATCTTTGGAGCGCTCCCACTTTTTTTTTTTTTTTTTTTTTTAGGCGGGAGCCTCACTGTGTTGTCAAGGCTGGTCTCGAGCTCACGAATTCTCCCGCCTCAGCCTACCAGCTTGAGCCACCACAACCGGTTTAATTGGAATGTGCTTGAAGGTGTTGTGAGATGGAATGATGGTAGGTGCTTTGTAAGATAAACGTGGAAGCATGATATAAATGTATAACATAAATATTTTGTTCAATAATTAAGCTTTTGAGAAGAAAGGGGCCCAACAAATGAATGAGCCAAGCGTCAGAAATACCAAGAACTGTGACTAAGAAGTAGAGGCAGCCGGGGTCCAACGGAGGGAAGCCAGGCTGTGTGGAACTAGTGATGTGCACTATCATTAGCATAAAAAGCCTACTTTAGGTTAGGTTGAACCCATTCGTTTACCACCTTGCAAATTCAATATCAAAAGTCAAAACTGAGGTAATAATAAAAATGTATAGAAAAAATGTAGCTTTTATGGTACTAAGTTAGATACCAAACCATAATACTGATTCAGAATAGCATTTTATTTTGCAGTGGTGGGGTTGGAACCCAGGGCCTTGTGCATGTTAGGCAAGTGTTCTACTACTGAGCTACACCCTCAGCCCCAGACTAGCAATTTGTTTGGGTATCTCAAACTAAGGAAGGTGCATGAAAACAGAAGTTGTTAACTGGACATGATGGCAAATGCCTTTATCTCAGCTCTGAGGAGGCTGATGCAGGAGAATCATGAATTCAAGACTGGCTCAAAAAACAAAAGTGATGAGAGTAGTCAGTCAACAGAGGTAAAAATGCTGCTTTAGTGTCCAAAGTTCCCTCTGCTGCCAAACATAAAGGAAATCTGATTCCTCTTGCTCTTGCTCTCACCAGGCCACCCAACGAGCCATTCTGAGGTTGCCAGCAACTTCTCAGTTGTCAGGTCTCATTCAGATCTCATTTTGCTAGACTTCTCAGCTGTGTGTGACATGGTGATCCCTCCTTCCTTTGAAATCTCTTCACAATTCTAATGGAGACGCTCTCTTCTACTTTTGTTACAACCTCTTGGACTTCTTGGAAGGTACCAGTGCCTGACCCTCTCCTGCTGGTCCTCTCAGGGCTTCATCCTTTAGTCCATTGGTAGCACAACTATGGCGCACATGCTGCAGTGGGCTGTTTGTTATCATAACGTTCTAAAGATTCGCCATCACTACTCTAGTCCCTTCTCCTTGTGCAGCTTATTCTGCCTGTGGATTCTTCTTGGGGTTGCAACGACTCTTATGGCATCTAATACTACTTCAAAAGCATTTGTGATTCCCAGATTCTTAGCCCCTACTTAGATTTTCTTACAGACACAAGAACAAAACATTTTGGAAAGGTACTTCTAACTCAACACACCCTGCCATCCACACTTCCCAGATGAATGAGGGCCCATCATTCTAATTTATGCTAAAATCTTATGAGCCAAAGTTGGGTCTGAGAGAAGTTGAAACAGGCAAGGAGGTCTTGGAAAACAAAGAATGAACTAAAGATCCAATCCATAGAACCAGTTAGAGTGCAATAATCAAACACTGAAGGATCTGCCTCAGAGTTCAGGGAGAATCAAGTCCTTAGGTGGCTAATTCCCTGTGCAAAGATACATGATGAGGGATGGGGAGGGAATAGTTACACATTGATCTTCTGTCTCCCTCCCCTATCTCCTTCCAAAGGTAGAATGGGTTTCATCTGATGGAAAATTAAACCCTGTCAAGTGAACTCTGAAAGTGAGAAGTGGTTTCCCATGTCTGTTTCCTTGTGCTGAACCTGGGCCAGCAGTGTAGGAATCTTATCTGGCCATGGCATCCTTGGGAGTCTGGCACCTCTTATATTACAGCTTGGTTCTCCACCCTCCTAGCTGTCTGTTCTGGCCACAGGATACTGGGTTAGAAAAGCATCTTGGTAAATCAGAGAGAACAGAGGGCAATTAAAAGTGAGTTGGATTCAGCCTAGGGAGGGCTGTAAAAAGTCAGACAACTCTGCGCTGATGACCCATCTCTCAAAGGACTTAATGTAATGGCTGGGCGTGGTGGCACACGCCTGTAATCCCAGCACTCAGGAGGCTGAGTCAGGAGTTTCGCTGTGAGTTTGAGACGAGCCTGGGCTACATAGTGAGTTCCAGGTCAGTCTCAACTACACAGTGAGACCCTGTCTCAAAAAAACAAAACAAAACAAAACAAAAACCCAAAGGACTCAATGTAGTCACACAGATGGGATCTGGAAGGGAGACTGAGTATGTCTTACTCAAGTTGTCCATGAGACTCCAGCTGATCCTGAGTTCTCTCAGGGGCCATCTGGCTGCCCAACCCAGAAGTAAAAGAAACAGCAAAAGTTAGGGTAGAATAAAGAAGTTCAAATTTGTAAGTGCAGTATGTTGCATTGTGAATTTGAGTTACATGTGACTGTTGGTAATAATGAGGTTTCGATAGTTTTAATGCCAATAGGAGATATGATCCAATAGAAACTGAGTAGCCAGACATGGTGGCATATGTCTGTGATCCCAGCACTCTAGAAGGCTGAGGCAGGAGAGTCAAAAGTTCAAGCTCAGCCCAAACAATTCAGCAACTTAACAAGATTGTCTAAAAAAAAATTTTTTTTGAAGCACTGGATATGTAGCTCTATGCAAAGGCCCAGTGTTCAATCCGTAGTACTAACAGAGGGAGGAGGAGAGAGAAGAAAAGAGAGGTAGAGAGAATCTGAGTAGCTAACTGATTTATTGCAGATAGTGTATACAAGTGACTTTGTATTAAAAGGGATTTTTGTTATCAATATCCTCCAAGACCAGAGGACAACTAGGACCTAAGGATGAGCATGTGATGCCTCAGAAACTCATGGAAGGAGAATCTAATAACAAGGGGCTATAGCTGAGCAAGAGGAGGAGCTACAGTCCCCGGAGAAGGCAACTGTGTCCAGCACTGTCACCAGGACAGCTTTGTGCTTTCATGAGGGAGTGGAGGTCAGTGGTAAAATCCAGGTATATTCAGGAGTCAAGAGTTGGTCTAAAGTTATTTATATCTATCATATCTGTATGGTAGAAATACCATATAACAAGGTGCTGCTAACCATCCCTCCTAGTGCTGGTTAGTGACATCGTGTTGGTAGTTTGAAATTGGCCATGGTGAGAATATTTACACCACAGAAATGGACAAATGTTAGAAGTTAGGGCTTTTTTGTTGCCACCGTTGTTAAACATTAACCAGCATACCGTGTACTACAAGCAGATTTGGGCAGCCAAGAATATTCCTCCTTTTTGAGAAAAATTGGTAAGTGAGGAATAGTGAGGCAGAAAGGTGGGAAATGAATTCTGGTAGCATCCAGGAAAATCTCAATAAACACTAAATGTTTCTGATACTAGAAAGAGAAGAGTCTCCATGCATCCTAACACCGTTTTGGGCATCCTTTTGGACCCGTGGTATGGACAACATATGGCTAAGGAACACCTCTGGGGCTTTTATACATACTTCTTACATGTGTCCTAAAGGTGGTACTATAGCAGACACCTGGCTACTTGGGCCAAGGACTGTTAGAAAATGTTGGTCAAAAAGAATCAAGGACTGGGCGAAGGACTTTACTAAGTGGTGCCATGCCTACCTAGCATGCACAAGGTCCTAATTTGATCCCAGTACCAAAAAAAAAAACCAAACAAACAAACAAAAAAAAACTCACACACAACAAGGACGCCTAAGTCAACAGTAGCCATGCGTTTCAGAAGGCTGCACAAAACAGTTTTCACCAAGAGCTCAAAAGAGCTCGGGCAAAGGCCAGGAATTTAGCTCAGTGGTTCTACCACCTGCTTCACAAGCACGCACAAGGACCCAAGTTCAATCCCCAGTACAAAAAAAAAAAAAAATCTGGGACATTATATAGCTTGAGAGCATCACAGATGCCTGAAGTAGTTATGACAATAAATGAAATGTCCTTATTTTATTTATTTATTTATTTTTTGGTACCAGGGATTGAACTCAGGTCCTTGTGCTTGCAAGGCAGGCCACCAAACCGCTGAGCTAAATCCCTAGCCCGAAATGTCCTTATTTTAATGATCTCTGCAGCCTCAAGGAGGAATTGAGCAGGACCTAATGACCTAGTATAAATCAATGTTACCATACTTTGGGAGCTCCTTGCTTTGGGCTCAGAGATCATATATACTGCCTGGTAGCAATAGAGACCAGACAGGTGCACATTCTTTCATGAGGGGGTGAAGAGCTTCTAAGTTTTCTCCTCGAAATTACTTCCCCAGAAAAGGATACTTACTGACTGCCATGGAGTCACAGGGCAGGGCCTGACACTGCTAACTGCAGAAGAACAAAGTAAAGCAGCATGCGTTGGGCCTCCAGCCACAGAGTCTTGGGGTTTCATAAATTGACAAATGGCAGCCACCAGATTTTGGACAAGCTTTCCCATATACTACTCAGAGGCACTGTGTTTACTCCCCCATCTCCACAGTCAAGTTCTTGTATAAATTGCTGGCATGGTGGCACATGCCTGCAATCCCAGAACTCTGGGAGGCGAAAGGATCATAAGCCGAGCCCAGCCTGGACAACTTAGTGACTTAGGGAGACCCTGTCTCAAAATAAAAAATGAAAGAAGGACTGGGAATAGCTCAGTGGGAAGGCCTGGGGTTCAATTCTCAGTACTGAAGAAAAAATGTCATTAATGAGCATGACCTATTTATATTTGTGGAGCACTGTCTTGGCCTGGTGGGGCCTGGGCTTGCTGGCTTAGTGCAGGCCTAGTGCACTGTTGCTCTGCAGTAGTGTTACACAGCCTTTAGTGAACATCAGAAGCACCTGCAGAGATAGCCTGACTGTTGGGCATGGAGAGGGCATGAAAGAGATGCATTTCCTAAATGACATTACTGGTTGAG